GCCGGCTGTGGAATAAATGGCGTCGGGCAGGGGAGCGCCGAGGCCGAGCATCGCAGGAAAGCTCTTCCAGAAGGAAAGGCCCGGCCGCGGGGGCTCTCTTGCACGGGAGGACGGAGTGCCGCTGGGATTTCAAAGTGTCTGTGGAAGTGGGGATAGGATCTGAACCAGGACTTAACCGCTCCCTCCACTAGGCCGCTCTCCCATTCCCTACTGGCCCATGAAAACTTCTGACCATGCACTGTGAGGCGTGGAAACAAAGATGTTCTGAGGGGAAGGAAATGGTTGATTTTGCCCCAGGATTGCTCATGGAGGAGGCCCTGTCTGAAGCATGATTATCTGAAATGATCAGAGGGAATGGGATCAACTAAAAATCAATTAAGATCGAATGACAAGAGTAATTTCGGTATTTCCCCACACAATCCCAGTTATTGGACCACGGACTTGAAGAGACACAGAAGTGATGAAGGAAAAAAGGCACTGACTAGATAGAAGCCTTTCCCCTTTGCTAGCTGACCCATCCAGGAGCCCACAGCAAATAATACCAGCAGGACCATGTTGGTCTGTCTTGGTGATCTGTATCCTGGCTTCCCTCTAAAGTGTGTGTGTATGTGCCTCCAAGGAAGCATTGCCTCCAGGCGACTGCCTGTACTAGTCCCCGCAGTTTTCCTGGCAACATTTTCAGAAGTGGTTTGCCATCACCTCCTTCCTAGGGCTGAGAGAGAGTGACTGGCCCAAAGTCACCCAGCTGGCTTTGTGCCTAAGGCAGGACTAGAACTCATGGTCTCCCAGTTTCTAGCCTGGTGCCTTAACCACTACACCAAGCTGGCTCTGTCCCTCTAAAGTACTGGGCAACAAAGCCTAGCAGACATTCTGACTTTCAGTGTTGTTGAACAAGGGAGAAAATGCTCTTTTAATTTGGTCCAGCTAAAGATTATTTAAGCCTGCCTCACTGAAGAGAAAAGAAAGCAAAGTTATGGGGACAGAGCAAGAAGAAAGAGAAGAGGAAGAGGAAGAGGAAGACCCTAAGAGTCAGCAAGAAGAAAGTGGGGGTGGGATGGGTGGGAGAAGTGCTCAAATTAACATTCTACCTGGAGGCCCTGTAGAGCCTAATAAAGGCCCTAAAAAAGGCAGGTCTTGTACCTTTATTGATGGCCAGGAGGAGGCCCACCTAAGCCTGATCCATGTCATAGAAAGTCCTGGGCAGAAGACAGATTCTAGGTCAGAGTTTCTCAACCTTGGCAGCTTGAAGATGTGTGGACTTCAACTCCCAGAATTTCCCAGCCAGCCTGGCTGGGAA